ATGATAAATATTTTTAAAATAAATCAAAATTATAAAACGAAGTTAACAAATTGTAATCTGGAATGAAAAAAGTTGGCCATGTTATTTGATACTTGAATATAAATATGAAAATTTATTTACTGTATTATTTTCCATTCCTTGGAAAGATGATTGTCAAAACCATAAATGCTTTATAAAAAGTATGAAATGTGGAGCTTTTGGCCATGTCCTTCTGCCTAACCAGTCTTTTTAATTTGCATCCAAACTTGTTCATTAAAACAATCTCAATGTTTAATGCCGCTTGGTTAGGTAAAGATGAAGAAGAAGAGCATTCTTCCTTTCTTCTTTTATCTCTTATTCTTTAAAACCTGTGACAGTTTGAAATATTTATTTAATGGCAACCTTCTACTGTGTAACTTGTGGCAACCTACGTCTTCATTTTAGTAACACACACAACCAATTAATATAGCCATTTCATCGTATGGATTTAATATTTTAAAGGTTTGTCTGTAATACAAACAAGCTTCAACCTAAAACCAATGGCTCTGTATCCGTCAAATTAAGGCTGGTAGGTTGGGTTGGGATACGTCATTTAGGGAAATTTTTTATTTAAATTAATTAAATGAGGTTGAGTTTTTTGTTACAAAATTTTATACCCAGCTTAAATCAAGTTTTACAGCCATAAAATCACTTATTACATTAGTTATAAACTAATTAATTTAAATACAGTTGATTTTAAGTGTTCTACATCAATTATAGAGAATTGATTTACAAAGTATAGATTTTTTTATATAACTAAGATGTCATGAGGTTGGTATTTATTGTATTCAAAATTATAAGTAGAAGTTTAAGAACGTAAAAAAAAGTGTAAAAGAATTTGTATTTTTTGTTGAATTTGTAAACAAAGATACATAATGTTCATCAATGTTGTATAAAAATAAATAGATTAATAAAGACAAAAACACAAAACAAAACATTTGCGCTTTTTATAAGTCTATATATAAAAATTATATAATGTCTACTAATATCGTACCAAAATAAATAAGTTGATGAAAACAAAAACACATAATAAGCTAAATATATTCATTATTGTCATACTTAATTTGAAGTGAGATTATTGTTTGTGATTGGTATACTAAGAAATACAAATAAAAGCTACTTTTTCAATTACTTTTAACATTAGTTATTAAGTAATATATCTTAAAAAAAATTTATTATTTTAAAAAATTTCACCATTTATTAGATCGATTAATTATTAAATAATTTATATATCTTTTGTAGAATGTTTTACATCTATTTTTTTAAAATTTAATAGTCAAAGTCAAACATATCTATTTAAATAGTTAAAAAAGAATATTAAAATATATGAGAGAAAAACAACATTTTTAAAATATAATAAATTTTCTTTTAAATTGAAATGTATTTGAATATATTTACATATATATATTCCTCTAAATTCTTATTTTGATCCCTAAAAAAAGTATTAGAAACTTTAGTCTTTACAACAATAGATTATTGAAGTGACATTTATAATTAATTACATAGCAAAAATAACATTATATGTAATATAGTATATATTTTATTTTATTTGAGTTCTTAAAATTGACGGACATTTTAGTTACTAAGATCATCGCAGGTAGTCAGATAGACATTCTAGTCTCTGATTCTAAAAACTTTTCATTTATCCATATTTTTTATTCTTCATTCTTTATCATTAGAAACTACTCTTACTATATTGCAAAACTCTTGACTCGAATATAATGAAATAAGTGACCTTGTTGTTGGCAATACTTCTCTACCTTAGACATACTTCACAAAAAAAAGAAGCACAAGAATAAATAAAAGTTTATGAGTAATATCATTAGAGTTATGAATTTGGCTATGCTTTCTTGCTAGTATTGCCAGTAATTGGTGGATTCTACATTACACAGCCTAAGTTTATCTTGTATTGTTAATTTGGAAGAAGGAAATGAGAGGACAATAATTTAGAGACATACAAAAAAAAAAGATGAAATATTGATAAATTAAAGAATTTAATTTTGAGTATCTTGTAAAATTATTATCTAGAATTTAAAAGAAAACATTAATTAGGATGTGGGTAACAATATTAGCAAGTAGTGATTTTGTCGCCAACAAAAAAATTCATATGGTAGCCAATGAAGTAATTTGTGGTGATTAAAAATAAAGAAAAAGAAAAAGAATAATAGATAGAGAAAATATTTTAAGAATTAGAGACTAAAATATATATTGGTGATAGTTTTAAAAATTAAAATGCTAGACAGGTAAATTTATATAGATTAAAATAAAAAAAACATATATTATATTATATATGATGTCATTTTTATCATATAATAATTATACATGTCACTTAACTCGATATGTTAGTATTTTATTATTATTTATTAACAATAACTAGGTTTAAAGACAAAAATGTTGAGAAAAATAAAAGTTAAAAATTAATATAATATTTTTTAAAATTTTAAAAACTAAAATACCCTTAAAGTTCAAAATTAGGGTTTAGTTTAAATTTAAATATACTGATATAACATACTGCAATAATTAGTAAGCAACCTTTGTAGCTTATTGTAGTGGAAGGAGTTAATCCTCACATATAGTGACAAAGCATATTTCGAATTCCATTTGAAAAGCGGTTCTCACATTTATTGTCTATGAGGCATGAGAAATATTGCTACTTGTAAAGATTTTTTTAAATTATTCAAAAAAGATAACTATTTTGTGCGTTACATAAATTTTAACTTTTTAAATAAAATTTCAAAGAAAAGTAATATATATATATATATATATATATATAAAAGAAAAATATGTATAATAAATTTAAATAAAATATTATATTATAATTTTGTTTTTTATGATTAAGTAAATTTAAATTTTTTCTTCTAATTTTTTTGAATTTAGTCAAAGTCTATTTTAAATTTTACATTTTTTTTTACTCAATTCCTTTGAACTTTGTTTCGTCTTTTGATATAACTAAACTTTTTAAATAATAGTATTTGGACAATTTTTTTATATGAAAAGTTTTACGTATTTCATAATAAATCATCTTCAACCAAAACTTATAAATTATGATTAAATTTTTTTAATTGGTTATTAATTATTATTATTTTTTAATTTCTTATCTAGTTTAATTTAGATCACGCACATAAATATAGTAGATAAGTCTATTATTAGAGATTTTTTTATATATATAAAAATTTGAAATCAAAATTTTATTTAAACGATACCGAGCGCTGATCATTCGAACTAACCTTCGTTAGTTTTATTAATTGATTTTAACTAATTATTTTTTCTATTTTTTATTATACATATTTAATAATTAAGTATTAATTTGTAATCATCAATCAAATCTCATATATTTATAATTTTATTTATTAATTACCTTTATTATAAACTAATATCTAGTCCAAACACAAACAATTATCTAAATCAGGAAAAATTTAAAAATAAATAAAGTTTTCAAAAAATCTTAACACACACCAAATTTAGAGGACTAAATTATTTTCTAAATTTTTAAGTAAATAGAAATTATTAATACATTAATTTTTAATAATTTGCAAGAATATTATTCTATTAAATATTTGAATTCTAAACAGAGAAAGTAATTTAAAAAATATTAAATGTTTTTTTTTCATATATATAAAAATAAATGAGATGCCATATTTAGTTAGACGCGTGATGCCTTTTCAATTTAAAATGAATCTTAAATTTCTTATGAGATTTTATTATTTTGATGAATTATCGAATTTATCATTCATCAATGTCTTTCATTTTCTCACTCAATTTACTGAATTTACTCTCATTAATTTCAAAATTAATAAAATTAAAGTTATGCACATATTAATCACAAGAACTAATATTAATTTAATTAGTATTAATATCTTATTGTTGTTATTATCTTTTGTAAAGTATGTATACAATATTTATGACTATTGCCTTACTGGAAATTTGTAATTACATACCATAATAATTATTAATATTATTGTGTACATCTTTTTTTGGTGTAATGTTATTTATTAGTATACATAGAGAATTGTAAATTTTTCTTATGGAAGTTTAAAATTAGGTATATAAGATTTGTAAATCGAAGCAAATAATGTTACATATAACACATAGTTAGATATCTAAGATACTATATTGAATGTAAGAATCGTACGTATCTAGATAACTTTTGTCCACATATCTCATGTCTTAACATATATGAGTTACGAACATCAAACGCTTACAATCTGATTTAACAAAAAAGCGAGCAACATAGAAACACCAAAAGATGGAGATGTAGTATAATAATGGTGATTGTATGGTGCTTTTGATTAGGGTGAGAATTAACATGAAACAAGAAGAGGAGCAAACAATTGGTGGAGCCTGGTGCCCAAGTATGGTTTCCTTGATCTCTTACGTGTCAAAGCTGTATTCTACCAAAATTTATTGAGAGGTTGATAATACAAATCTAACGTCATGCATCCGCAGGGTCCAAAGTTCATTTATGAGCTTCAAACCATTAAAAGTTAGAGACCCATTTTGAAAAAATAAAAATAAAGAAAATTAATTATAGAATAAATACAAAAAACATTATGTCATTATGGCCATTCTTTAATTCTCGTGATAATTATATTACCCGAAAATCGAAAGAAGATAAATAAATGGTTTAAATTAATAAAAATATTACCGGATTAAGGCACCAAGATTTGTCTACTACTATTCCCTGCATTAAATGCTCCCATTACTTACATGCCACCCTTTTCTTGAATTCTCTTCCCACTCCTCCACTACCCATTAATTAATACCCCTCTACATTAAATGAAACAATTAATCAAATTTTAATCAAATTCATTTTAAATTTCAAAACCACGATAACAAAACCAGAAAAGTGTATTTAATGGAATTTAATTAAATTCAATGACACATCTTTCTTTCAATTTTTTTATTTTTTTATTATTTTTTTTCTCTTCTCTCTTTTGTCTTTTAATTTTACTGTAACGTACCATCATCTATCTTTATTGGCATATATAAATCTCTCACAGTCACACACATGAAGGAACACACCCATTTGGTCTCTCATCTTTCTCCCTCTCTCTCTCTCTCTCTCTCTCTCTCTCTCTCTCTCTCTCTCTCTCTTGTTTCTCTCTCCAAAAGCTTTTTGATAACACACAGCAATGGCTGCTGAGGTTAGCTCTCTGATTCGGGTTATGGGTGGTGGCTACAAGGAGGAGCAGCATCGAACGGTGGCAAATGAATCGCATGGTGAGAAATCAACGGCTCTGATTACAAGGGATTTGCTTGGTGGGTCATCAATTGAATCGCAGGAATTGGACCTCGATTTGCAGGTGCCCAGTGGCTGGGAGAAGCGCCTCGACCTTCAGGTTTGTTAAATTTTTCTGGGTGTTTTCCGTTTGTTTCCCAGGAAAATAAAAATTCAATTTTTTTTCTTCTTTGGAAAAATTCTACTGGGAAAACTCTAATCTTAAGAATCAGAAATTCTCTTCGTTGGTGTCGCGATTATTTTTTTATCTGTGTTTTTTCAATGAAAAACTAAAGATGGAATGAATCATTTTATTTTGTTTCATTTTTTTAAGTTTTTTTTTTTTTGTTCTGTTTTTTTTTCTGGTCGAGGTTGGTGGTGTAAAATTATTTTACTGGTTTTTTTTTTTCATTTTGATGATTTATCTTAACGAAAATAGATTTATGTGTTTTATTGAATGGTTGATTTGGAGGTTTAGTGGTTTGTTTTCGTGGTCTTGCAATTGGTTGCTGAGAAACTTGGGGATAAGGGAGTTGTTATTAAGAATAAAAAAAAAGAAGCTAAAATCTATATTTTTATCATATTATTTTTATTTTCTTTTTTGGCGAGTTTAAACTTTTGCCTTTTAATGTAACAGCAGGCCTGCAATTACTCAATTTTCGTTCCTTTGTACCTTTGTATTTATGTCTCATAAAGCCGATTTTAAAGGCTTCTGATTTCTGATATCTAAGCAAATAATACACCGCTTCTATGATGTCATATCTGAGGTTCTCTCCCATGGCATCATGCCCTTCTTAACAAATTTCATTCTGTGATATCCCTTTCAATTAATTTACTTTGCTTCTTATCTTATATAATTTTTTTAACTTCAATACAAATTTACTATATACAGACACATTCAAACAATTCATCTTATGTTACTTGGAGCATATTTGAATTTACTTTTTAAGGAGCATAGATTCGTATTTACTTTAATATATTTTTAAAAGATATAATCAATTGAAACTTTTAGATCATAGGAAAAGTTTATTTGTTTTTTGGTATAATTTTGATGGATATGTAATAGTGATTTTTTATGTTGTTGAAATTTGATAATGGTTGCAGTCAGGGAAAGTGTATATCCAAAGGTGCAACACATTAGGCACACCACCTATGGCTGAAAACAAAAATAATGTGAAGCCAGGAGGACAAAAACTTCAGGACCTAAATTTCCCATCATCTCCATCACCGAATGTGCTATTGAACCTTTTTGATGAAACAAGCCTTGACCTGAAGCTGGTTTCATCTTCATTACCATCAAGCAATTACCAAAGTGTATGCACTCTTGACAAGGTGAAGTCAGCACTTGAGAGGGCAGAGAAAGAGCCAATTAGAAAGCGCACATCATTCTTGAAGTCACCACTTTCAGCATCTTCACCCTCTTATTCCTCTTCCTCATCATCAATGAGAGAAACCCAAGAAGAAGAAAGTGAAGAGAAGATTTCATCACCAATGGCTGCAGGGTGCCCTGGTTGTTTATCATATGTGTTGATCATGAAGAACAATCCTAAGTGTCCTAGGTGTAACTCTGTTGTTCCTCTTCCATCTATGAAGAAACCTAGGATTGACCTCAATATATCAATTTAAGTTATGAGGGTAATTAGTAATTGCCTCCATTTTTAATATAATTTGTTATTATTTTTTTCACGTTTTTGTAAATGGAATGATAGATAAATTTAGGGTATTTAAGGATAGGATCATTTGTTAAGCGATATTGGCCAGGGTTTATGTATATTAAAATTCTGCCTTTTTACTAGGAAAGCTAATAGAAAATTCTGAAATTTCTGCACTTGTTTTTCCCTCTATCTTTCTCCACTTCTTATTGTTTCATCTGCAAAATTATTTTTAGTTATTTAAAAAATAATAATGATATTTCGATTTAAATTTGCATTAATTGAATGTACTAAGTTTTACTAAATATGGATGGATAGTTGGATTCAAAAGTAGCCATTATTGTCATTTATATGCATCTGATCAACATATATACTTTAATTATTTTTTATACTGTTTAAATCAAAATTTATGGTAATACTTTATTAAGGGCAAGTTTTCTTTTTTCTTTTTATTTTTCCTGACTTAATATATTAATGCGTTGCTTTAGCTAAACAGTGTTGAAATGCTTTAAAAATTGAATAATTTTTTCACATCTTTGGAATAAACGCTACGGTGTCGGTATCGAGCAAGATATCGGTTAACATTTAAATTTAATATCTTGCATTAAATATTTCCATTTATTAAACGTGGCGGTTTTTTCTTTTTGATACTTTAAATGCTATTTAATTTTTTATAAATAAATAATTTAATAACATTAAGAAGTATTTAATATTTTTAATTAAGTACTCTCTAATATATTAAAAGGATTATATTAAATTATTTATATTTTAAGGTAATAAATACTTTGCCTTTATTGTTTATTATTATTTTTATTTTAATAATATTTGAAAGATACTTGCTTGTGTTATTATATGATATTTTTCTAAAATTACTTTGAATCCACTAGTTGGAGAAGAATATATTGTCAAATAATCAAATTAATACAATCTTAACATAATTTACAGTATGTTTGATAAATTTTAATTAATAATAAAAATGTGTTAGAAAAATTGCTATAGAGTATATTTTTAATTGTGTGTACATAATTTTATAATCTCTGTCCTAATATCTTGATTTAAAAAAAATAAAAATGATAAAAATGTGACTTAGCGGTGGACCCTATCATTAATTAAGCTAAAATGTCAGAATATGAACAGTGAGTATAATCTTATGTGACGCTCAGTTAGCATAATTTCTATTCATTGACAATTGTCAAGAGATGAATGGATTAAACCCATAAGGGCTTCGTTGAGTCCATATTGAGAAATTCAAATAACATTTATTACTTACTTAATCAATTAAAAAAGGCATACCGTTTATAAATCTCACTTTTAATTAAGTAATAAATACCATTTTGAAACATTGATTTGATTCTAGAAAAAGTAGTGATAAATTGGTCCTTAAATGACTATTTTTAAAATATTTCTAATTCTCAAACTTTATGTATTTTAAAAAATTAATTATCAAATAAAATATTATTAAATATTTTTTTAATTTTGAAGATAATAAATATATTTTTATTTAATTTTTTATTATAAATTTTAAAAAATTATTACAAATATATGTAGAAAGATATTATAATGAAACTCCTTTTTTAATCATCTTTCGTTCATTTTTCATTTCATTTAGATAACTATAAATATTCTTATCCTCCATTCTTATAAATATTTTTAATTATTTAAAATTAAAATTACTTTTTGTCAATTTAAGATGATAAATATAAAAAATTATGTTTATTTCTTAAAGTAGTAAGAAAATTATTAAAAAGATAAATAAAAGATTATAGTATAATTCTTTTAATTTTCACTCATTTTTCAAAATTAAACTTTTGTTGTTTTCAAATCTAAGAATAATTCATTTTTAATTACTATTTAATACTCCTAGAGACAATAACTTCAACTAATTAACTGCTATAATTAAATATTTCATTTATTATTTTATTTTTTAACCTTTGAAAAATGAGTTTGTGAAAATTTTAAAATATAAATAAAATAGTTGGAATTCAGAAAACAGTGTTTTAGTTAAGATATAATTTTTCTTAATTATTGTACATGCACTTGAATAATAAAAAAAGAAGGGAGTAGGTGTTAATGGTCAATGACTTGGTGCCGTTAGTTAATAATTTTTAGACTTTTTAAGTATTTACTAATAAAATTTAATTAATACATTCATTTATCAGGTTCTGTATTGTATTTAAATTTGAGTTCTATATATGATATATTTTTTATTTTTAAATTATGAAATTATTTATTAATTTTTTATTTTGCATATAATTTTTTTTTTGCTTTTCTTAAATCTTAATTTAATCACTTTAGTTTTTCATTTTATATTTTTTATTCATTTTAAATCTTCTTAGTTATATTTTAAATATTAATTTTTTTTAAATTTATCCCTCTATCCTAAATGAATGTTACGTGTATATTAATTTATATTTTGAATCTTTTCTTAAGAAATATTGCATGCATTGTATAGAATATTTATTTGAATATAGGAGTAGAAATAGGCGGATTTGAGCTAAGATTTGAAAGACTTGAGTCAACTTTAAAATTTATGGTTTGAGCTTAAGCTATTTATCTTATATGAGTAATTTTGTATGTTTTTATTTAACTTTTTTAAAATTTTAGTGTGTAACTTATAAGTTAATTTAAAAGCTTACTTTGGTATAAATTTTTTTGAATAAATATAAAAAGGTTATCTTTAAACAAGTTAGTAAATTAACATACTTAACTATTTAAATAAAAAATATTAAATTATTATTACTATTAGTTGGTTTGGATCATGTTTGAGTCAGAAAGAATAATTGTGAATGACAAAGCTCTTCTTATGAATATTTAACATACTTGTATTTGTTAAAATTGAATTAATAATAAATGATGATGATTATTATTATTATTATTTATTTAAATAGACTAAACAGTTAAGCTTAAAAAAAATTAATATAGGTTTAAATCTGATTGTTTTAGAAGAGTTAGGTTTGATGTAAGTTAGGTCATAGACTCCAACAAGCAATTTGACTTATTTTCAATCTTACTAGTATATTAATAAGTTCTAACTTTTAAAATTGAATAACCTTTATGTGTTGCTTACATGCGTCTACCTAGATATGTGGTATATATATTATTGATTTTTACACAAATTAAATAAATATTTTTCTTTATTAATTAATTATCCAATTAAAGCATACTTCTACTTTTCTTAATTATTTTAATTATGATTATTATTTGAATTAACATTAGATGTAACAAGATATTTACAAATCATCAATAAGATGATATTCTATTAATTAAACTTATTTATAAGATTTTTAAAATTAAAAGTAAAATTTTAAACATTTGTTTTCATACTTTAATTTATAGCATTTCAATAATAAAGTAATGTTTGTTTAAATAATACCCACATATATAATACCTACAATACTTCTTAACTATTAATTATTTATTATCTATTTAACTTAAAACCAAGTCTGTTTTGTTATCCTTGAACTTTTGGCTTCGGGGTCTACTTATGATACTGCTAAGAAAGAAAATAATCAGTGAAGCTTGTGTCTACCTACATATGGAATCCCAAACACATCATATGTACTCTAATGCAAAGTTTTAAGCTCTTTTACTCTATTTCAAACACCAAAAATAAAGGAAATAGACTATGACTTAAATTTTTTTAAAGAAATATATCAAAAAATATTTGTCACGTGCAAACAAGAGCGACCTAAGGTCCAGACAAGTATGGCAAGGACTTTAGTCCTCAAATTTATTTATTTTTAGTTTTAATATATTTTTAAAAATTAAAAAAAATTTAATTCAAATATTTAATTTAATTATTAAATTTTTATTGATATTACAAATAATATTTAATTAACCATAATTCTTAATTAATAATAATAAATTATTTTATTAATAAAAAAAAGTCTTATTTTTAAATTTACTTTTAAGCCCTAAAAACTCTTTAACCGTCGCTGCGTGCAAATATTGTTTTTGAATGACATATTCTAGGGAAGAAAGACATTATTTATTTTAACAAAAGAGCAGTATATATATATATATATAACGTTACAGCTCATTCATTTACCTAGATTTTGTCATATCAATGGATCTTGTTTTGGTCCTTTGTGAATACTGACTTGCATATGGATGCTTAATCCCTCTGTACCAGATATTCTGGTGGCTTATCAAAAACTAGAGGATGGAGATAGAGGCAATAACAAAGCACTGGATGGTACACTTCATTGACTCTCAGCATTGTCATGTACCATAGTTCACTGTCCAATCCAAGAACCCTTTTCATCTTGTCCCCCCCTCTTTTTCCCATTCTTTCTTTCCTCATTTTAGATGCATAGAAGCCAGTACTCACTTGTTCAGGAGATTCGCCTTAAAAGAAAATAATTTAAGATGTTTTAAAAGTAATAAACTTTTCTAAACTCTATTTCTATTACAAATAAATATTTTTGACTTTCATCTATCTCAATTCATTTTTAAACATTTCTTTACAAGTTAGAATATCAGTTACAACTAAAAAAGTACAAAATTCAATTAAAAATATCATCACACACATCTATCATTTTCTATACACTCATAATGCATAATTTCAAGGGAAAATTTTCTTTCTAGTCATGAATGGGTGTAGTAAAAAAGAAGAAAAAAAAATGTATTTTGTAGGCCTCACATACTGCATTCATCTAATAACTGGAGAGGACTCAAACTCAACTTAAGTCTTCTAAAAATATTAATTAAGCAACTAAAAAAAATAAATTATATTAGAATGCATTACAAGATTAACAAATGTATACATTCTTACATATTTTTATTTTGAATTTCTTGATTAAGATAATTTATTTGTTTCTCATGGTTAAAAGTGATGTATATAGGATGATAGGTGTATATATAATGTATGCGGTGGGTTTGCAGTACTGTTTTTAAAGAATTCAGATAAGCACTTGAAGACAAGTCGTTTTCAATTGTCCACCAATAATTGCGGGAACAATGAAAAAATATATATATTATTATTAACCTGGAGCATAAATCAACTCCTTGGGCTAGGCTTTTCAAAGTCAAATCTGTTAGTTTTAACTCGCCCCTTCCCATTTTCTAAGTTAACATGTTCAAGGTTTGAGTTGGTATCATAATACAGCAGTCACTTTAGTTCCAAATCATTCACACTCATTGATCCACCTTTTTATTCTTCAATACC